CCTTCTAGCTCTTCCTCTGAATATTAATTTTAACATGCACTTTGACAGCTCGTATAGTAAAGCCTGGGGTAACTGTTAACTTGCTCCTATCAATGCAAACTCAGGATGTAAAAGGATAAGTGGATCCTTCTTACAAGCGAAGTTTTGGTTTTCAATTAATCGTCCCAAATACAATGAAAACTCCCTAAAGCAGAGTAACAGTTACTAATTTAGGTTTGAAAACTAAGAAACGTGAATGTTGAAATAACCCTGACACTGTTTAGCCTATACACATTTTCCAAATTTTATTCTATTACCAAAACATGTATAAAGTCAAAAAAGCAAATAAAAAATATACAACTAAAAAACATAAATCCTCCAGTCCTTTCTCCACTAAGACACTAAGAGAAAATGGAAATTAATTTACCATGTTTACATTTCTCCTAATCCTTTCATATCTCTAATTTGGATAAAAACCACTCATTACTCTGAGACAAGTAGATGACAGGCTAGGAAAAGGTCTAAGTTGCTTAACTCTTCCTGAGATTCAGAAAACTACTTACTCCTTATCCCAACTACACAGATAAGGAAATGAAGGCTCAGAGTTAAAGTACTTGCCCAAACCACAAGAAGTGGAAGTGGCAACTATGCTTGATACTACTTCTGTAGTATTTTACTACGTCTGTCGCTATTGTAACCAAGTGTCCCACTTACACTTGTTTGTAGTGTTACACTCAGGGAGAGCGACACCCCAGGCCCCGCAAACCTGCCTGCTCTAAATAGGTTCTGTCATCTGCCACATCAACACAAAATATGCAAGACTTTAATGGGAAGGAACTTTAATTCAATTAGTAAACAATACAGAAAAGACATAGAATATAGTTTTCAAATCAAATACCCACAGTTACTCACCCCCTACTGGGTAAAAGTCCACCCAAACTGGATTGGTTCAGAGCAAGGCCCAAAAGCCAGCCACAAGCCTAAAGCACCTTTCAGTGGAGACCCACAGAAAAGGATCAGAAACAACCAGACAAGTCTGGGAGGAAAAGAGCAAGATCAAGATCAAGATAAAAGCTGCCATTGTTATCCTCCCCACCTTCTCTCACCCACATCTGTTTCAACCAGTCCACGACCAAAAGGCAAGTGCAGTTTCTTCACGTGTCTCTCTGCTCCATGTACCTCTTCCAGGTCTCCTTCTGCCTCTCCATCCTGCTACCTTCCTTCCTCAGTCTCTTCTCCAGCTTCTTTTCTTTTGTTTAGCTCCACCCTCCTTTGGGTGGGACAGGGAACTTGAAACTTCCCCTTTTTCTGGGGACCACCCTGTTACAGTAGCACAGCAGCATCTGCATGCATTTTTTATGCAAACACAAATTCAAACTTCCAACTGGTGTTCTTACTAATGTGTTGACGGAGTGAAATGAGAATAATAAAAGGCTTGACCCAGCAACCTCAAACCCACCCTCCTCAAAGCAACCAGGCCCAAGGATGGAGATTACAAGTCTACAAATTTCAGGTTCACAAGTACTATGAACAAAAACAACCAAGGATCACCGTGTGTGTGACAAAAATCTGTAAGAAAAAAGAAAACAACAACAAGCCAAACAAAAAGAACAATGACCAGGGAGAGAAAGAGACACATAAATTAATAGACAAGAATTTTATCAAGAAAACTCTAAATGTTATCCTTCGACAAATAAAATGCATCCTTAAAATAGAAACAAGCTGAATAAGAGAAATATTTGTACAAAAATATTTCCTAGCACCGTATTATTTTTGCCTTTAAAATATTAAGCTACAGAAGAAAACTATGTAATTTCCCAGAAAGAAAGAGAAAATTATAAGAGACATCAAGAAACCAAAGGTTTCAACTTTCAAACTAAAGAACAAAGAAAACGAGTACAGGCAAATTATGGAATAAAGTTTCCCAGAGCTAAATTAAAATCAAGCCTATAAAATAAAAAGGACTGGGCTTCCCCGGTGGCGCAGCGGTTGAGTGCTGGGCTGCAAAGCTGCCCGCAGTCTCTGCAGCGCCAGTTCAATCCCCGGCCACCAGCAAGGGTCCCACATGGTGCACAGACCTCTCCTGCCTCACCCGCTGCTCCCCTCAGCAGTGTATTTCAGTCAGTCTGCCTGTTCTGCTTCCTGCTCTGGTGAATTCTCTCACCCTCCCGCGCTTCTGAATGTACCCAGTGCTTGTATAAATAAATAAATAAATCTTAAAAAGAAAAAAAAAAAGACCTATTACAACTAGGATATATAACATCCTAGTTCCATCATTATACAATTCCAGAAAAGTAAGATTAAAAAGAAAATTTCCCAAAGCTCCAGAGAGGGAAAATAAAGGTAATTAATAAAAGAAAATAAACGTAACTGCCAACAACACTGGATGCTAAGATCAATACAAAACTTTCAAAGTAGTAAAGAAATATGTTAAACCAGTATTCTATATTCTATACTTAGCTCAACTATCGATCAAGTTTAAGACAAAGCAAAGTTATTTTTAGGCACACAGGTCTCAGAAAGGTAACCTTCTGCCATCTTTTCTAAGTTACTTAAGGATGTTCTCCCAAAAATGACAAAAAAAAAAAAAAAAAAAGAGGTGTGGTAAGGTAAACATATGATGCAGACGGAAAATGGATCTAAAATTAGGCAAACTGCTAGGATGTCAGCAGCACAGCATGTTGGAGGAAGATAAAACTCCAGGAAAGATAGCACACTGAAATGATATGACTAGTTAGTTATCTTCAGAAAGTTTGAAGATATGCTGAGAGCAATTTTTTTCTTTAGTCAACAAGAAAAATGAAACACTACTTAGGGGCAAAATTGTATAAGAAAAAGGCAGGGGTTGAAATATGAAACAAAGTGGATTGTTTTGAGCAACTGATGGCGTGTTGGGAAAAAAACACTACAAATGTACTTGCAAAGGTTAGAAAATAAAATTACAGCACACTACCTAACATCTCAAAAACTATTTTAATAGTGCTTCAGACAGGTCTCCTAACCACACCATTCCTTCTGCCTGTTTTATTAGCGTTCTCTGAGAAATCTGTTATTATTTAGCAATATTATCACACATATTACTTCATTGATTCTAATACACATATCTCCTAATTTTTTAATCCCTCTGAAACCGGTATGCATTTTACAACCCGTATGCACACACAGTCAGCCAGGTGGCAGTCTTGTTACTGTGTGAAAAAATCATCAGTGGATACCTTCTGGAAAGCACCCAAAATCAAAATGCTTCCAACCCGATGAAATGTGTATCTACTTGCTGAATATCTCCCCCACTGCACTCTAAGAACATTATGGGCAGTAATTTTCTTTTTAAGTCTCTATGTGTCAGTGACTGGCATGTAACATATTTAATCAGTGTCACATTTAACATCTCTGAAACCAGAACAGGTTCATAGGATGGGTCCTATTAACTGTCAACTTCCAACCTTCCCACCCCAGCAACCAATAATGGAGAGTAAGACAAGCATATCAGTTTATTTCAAAAGGTGATTCCAAAGATTGGTAAATCCAAGAAATAGATATATAAGCTTATTATTTTTGGGTTATGAAATGATACCAAAAAATAAACAGAAAAAGGCTAAATGTGATCAAGAGGCCATAAACATGTTTTTATTTTTCATTATAAGTTAGTACATACTATTTTCCTTTTACTAAGTACACATACATTTTTATAAACCCTTTTGAGTAGAGACTCACTTAAAAGTCACAGAGGGTTGAAAGAGACATTCACAAGGATACACACACACACACCCAGGAATAAACAAGTTAGAATCGGGTATCTTCAGAAATTTGTACTGACAGTAGGGAGGGAAACCATGACTTCTGGATGCATGTTTAGCAAATGTTTAAAGGGTGACACTAACACTAGTTGCCTACTGATAACAAGTATGCCATTTCGCTCATCAAAAAATCAAGGTAGGCTCAGCCAAGTCTGGAGAGTTTATCCTTGACCCTGGACTGAAACTCAGACTCCGTTAGGTAGAATAATGAATTACATGCACTCCTTTACTACAACGCTCCACATTCATCCAACACTGTCACCTGCCCTGACGTGTCAGCACGACAGACACGTTGAATGAGGGGGTCTCTTCATTACCGGAGAGGCGAACTGTCTCTATTAAGGAGATGCAAAAGCTGGAACTGCTGCCTGAGACACGGGGCAGGCAGTCCAAGGAATGAAGAATAGTGGGTGGCCATGACATGCAAAAATCCATTTTTTTGAAATTCCGTTCACAGAAGCACCCAAGCCAGCCTCTGTCTCGCGGAAAGTCACTACACGTTTTCCCCATGAGAGCTAAGGCGCTCACACACCCAACGTGCCGTGGACCGGCAGTGGCGCGCAAATCGGACCCCACCCCTCCCTCCCAGCTTAAGGCAGACGCACCAGCATTGCAAAATGTCACTGGGCCGAGAATGAGCGCGCCAAAGAGAGAACCACCCCCGGGAGACCCGGACGCTGGAGACAGGTCCCTCCCCTTCCTCCTCCGAGCCCGCGCAGAGCTCATTCATTCTCGAGGATCAGCCTGTCCTCCCAGACCCGCCATCCCGGCGCAGCAAACCCCAAACGCTTTGTCTCCCGCCCGGCCGGAAACCGGGGCGCGCACTGGAGCGCGCGCCCGGGAGCCTCCTCCCCGCACCTGGGGTCCTCCCGGCTGCCGTGCCGGGTCCACGCGCCAGAGAACCCTGCTGGATGCCGGGGGCCAAGGCCCAAATCGGGGCTTTCTTCCTCTGCGGCCTCCAGCGTACACTTCGCCGGCTCCTGCAGGGTATCCGGCCTCGCCAAATGCGCGCCCCGACCCCATGGGTGCCACAACTCCAGCCTCCACCCGCGGATAGTCCCGTTAACAACACTCCTCTAGCTAAAAAAAACGCTAGATTCTCCTTTCCGCAGACGGGAAGCCCCGTCGCTTCCCCAGGACCGCGGCACCCGGGTCCCCGCTCACCCCCTGGGGCAGACCCCGAAGCGGCGTCCCCCGACACCGCCGCGCGGCGCGCACACTCACTTGAGTAACAGCTGGTCGTGCTCGGCCTTGAACTTGCCCAGCTCGATCTGCAGCTTGGCGCGCTCGCGGGCCGTGTCGTCGAGCGCGCGGCGCGCATCGGCCAGCTCGGTCTCGTAGAGCGCCTTGAGGCCGGTGAGCTCGCGGCCACGCACCTCCTCCCGCTCCGTCACCTGCAGCTGCAGCGCGCTGTTTTCCGTCTCCAGGCTGCGCACCTTGTCGATGTACACCGCCAGCCGGTCGTTGAGCTCGCGCAGCTCCTCCTTCTCCTGCAGCCGCGACAGCCGCGTGGGGCTCAGCGGCGTGGCGGGCGCGCTGGCGCGGCTGCCGGACCGCGGCTGCACGGGGGTCGCGGTCGCCATGGCGGGCGGCGGCGGGGCGATCGGCAGGGACGGCGGGGTCGGGGAGGCCGCGGGCTGAGCCGGGATGCGCGAGGGTCCCGGGGAGGCGGCGGGCGGCGCAGCGGGGACCGAAGGCACCAGCCGGGGACCCGCGCTCGCGCAGAGGCCGGCGTGGGGAGGGGAAAGCAGCGGGGATGGCGCGAGCGGGGTTACCACACAAAGGGCAAAGGGGGAGGGCTGCGAATCAATCAATCGTAAAATGCCCTTTGTAAGAAAACACGCGCACGCACGGACGCGCACACACACACACTCACACACACTCACACACGCGCGCGCGCGCGCGGGGAACACACGGGGTGAGGAGCACCGGGAGGGCCGAGCAGGGTCCGCGCGCCGCCGCCGCCGAGTCTCCCGCCCGCAGCACTTTGTTTCCTCGCAGGCGGAGCAGCGCGGCGCGGCGGGCGGGGGGAAAGGGGGGGCGGGAGGCGGGCAGCAGCCGAGCCGTGGGGGCGGAGGTGGCGCGAGCCGCCGCGCCGCGCTCCCCAACATGGCGGCGCGCGCCGGCGCGCCCACGTGACCCCCGCCGGCCAATGGGGAGCGGGAGGCGCGCTCGGCGGCGGCCGGGTCGGGCCTGGAAATTCAAACTCGCGCCCTCGGGCAACCGTCGGCGGGGCGCGCCGCGCTGGGCGTGGCCGGGGCTGGCCTGAGGGCGGCCGGGTGGGGCGCCGGGGACTGCGCGCCCCGGGGCCCCAGGCCCAGCGCCGGCCTGGCCCTCCCATCACCCCGCGGGGACCCCTGCAGGGGCCGGGCCGGCCGGTGGCGGGAAGGCGCCTGGGGGTTTCCGGGGCGGGCCCGCGCTGCGGCCCACACCCGGCCGGGTCAGGGAAATTCAAAAGTAAACGTCCCCGTTCGCGGGCCCACGCGCAGCTCGCCGAGGCCCGGACGGCCGCGCGCGTTGAAACCCGACCCCCCGCCCCGCGGAAAGGGCTCGGGAAGAGGCCCCGAGGCCCGGCCGCCCCGGGGTTACGTAAGGGGCCTCGGTGTCAAGGTCCAAAATCCACGGCGGGCCGGTTCCAAGTACAAATCATTATTTTTCTCTCCGATGGAAACGCTGTGCGAGGACGCCTCAAATCGGGCGCGAGCCCAGCAGCCCGCTGATAAACGCCGCCGAGAAGCCGGAAGCCTTGATTTTTAAATCTTTTGCTATCAATGCTAGCGGGTGCCCCGACCTTTGGTTTCCTAACAATTTAGGGCTCTGTCAAATCAAAAAAACGCCTCGAGTGAGAAGATTAACATATGGACGAATAAATAGCACAAGCTGTTAATTGTCATGCTTCTGCAACAGGGTGGTCCCCAGGAATTGTTTCTGGAAATATAGGGAGAAAAGGTCTCAACAGATTCCTATTGATGGAACTGTTGAGAGTAAAAAACTTTCCTACAAAGGACTGAATAGACCTGAAAATACACCCGACATTTACTAAGGTTTCTTTGACATAATACTGGAAATTTTTTTTTTATGCATTCTGTCCTAAATCCACGAAGTTTTTGTTTTGTTTTGAGTAACCAGGATCTGCAGAAAGGTTGCAATTTTTTTTCCAGCAAAGCTAACTTGTCACATTTTCTCTCCCCTTGATACCAACACAGCATACAAATAGTGGTAGTAATTTTGCTACTTATCTTAGAGTCTGTTTTTGCATAACTTCCATAGGGATTTTGCCTGTTTTAACAAAAAATTGGACGTGAGTTTGATTGTGTGGCTTTGTGTGGAGTTCTTCCAAAAGTCGAAACAGAGCTAAACCAAGAAGAGGAGAACCTGTTTGCCTTGTTTGTAGGGTTCCAGAGACCTCCAAAGAAGGTGAGGAAGCTTGCCTCCATTGGCAGGACTGGACAACCCGGCCAACGAAAAAGCCCTGGTACCCTCGAGAAGAGGAAGCCCAGGTGGAGTCTGATGAGACCAACTTTATACCTGAAACATACATCGACTGGATGCCAATGGTTCGCTCTGATCCTATATGGAGTATTTCAACAAAGCCAGCTAAAAATTGCTGTTAATTATTTCTGCCCTGTGATTTTATGCAAAAATAGGAAAAATGGTTTAAAAGTAGATTTAATTTGCAAACTTTTGCTATGCTGTTAAAGTTTGGGATCAAGGTTGAGAGAATTCGTTTTTGCATAAGTTGAACCATTTTAACATTTTTTCCCTGTGATTTTGATATATTTGCTGTCTTGTTTTAGCTAACGCTCCAATTTTTTTTTCTTTCGGCTTGTATAATGGACTATTTTTCAGAATGGAAAACTGTCATACTGAACATTCATAGACAATGCTGCTGACTAATTGTTGCTTCTCTTACACACATTGTAACCCTAAAAAAGACTGTCTCCTAAGACTACACCCTGAGATTGTGCCACCATAGATATGGTGGAGTAAAAATTAAAAGGGGGGATTGCAACAGGGTGGTCCCCAGGAAAGGGGGAGGTTCCCTGCCCCACCCAAGAGAGAGTGGAGCTGAGCAGGAAGAGGAGAAGCTGCAGAAGAGACTGAGGAAGGAAGCAGGATGGAGCCAGGAGACCTGGAGGAGGCGCATGGAGCCTAGAGACATGTGAAGAAACTGCGCTTGTCTTTTGGTCATGGACTGGGTGACACAGATGTGGGTGAGACCCGTGGGGAGGTGACAATGGCAGCTTTTATCTTGATGTTGATTTTGCTCTTTTCCTTCCGGGCTTGTCCGGTTGTTTGTGACCCTTTTCTGTGGGTCCCCACTGGAAGATGCTTTAGACTTGTAGCAGGCTTTGGGGCCTTGCTCTGGGCCAATCCCATATGGATGGACTTTTACCCACGAGGGGACGGGTAACTTTGGGTGCTTCATTTAGAAACTAGACTTTTTGCCTTACCTGTATTGTTTCCTAGTTTAATTAAAGTTCCTTCCCATTAGAGTCTCATATGTTTTGTGTTGATGCGGCGGATGGCAAACCCATTTAAAATAGGCAGGTTTGCGGGGTTTGGGCTGACCCTCTCCCTGTCCTATAACACTTCCTAAAATTTAATGCATGAAAACCTAAGCTTGTGAAACGTAAATAGAAATGATTTTTTTTTTTTTTTGGCTTTAAAAAGTGATTTCCCCTAAGATATAACTGACAGCAAGTTGTTATAAACTGTCCATTAATTCCTTGGAAACGTTTTTTAACTTTCAGGCAAACGTTTATTGGGATTTGATTTTTTTTTTTTTTTTTTTTTTTTTGCTTTAAACAGTGAATTCCCCTAAGAGGTAACAGACAGCTAGTTGTTATAAACTGCCCATTAATTTATTAATTTCTTGGAAAAGTTTTTTAACTTTCAGGCAAGCGTTTGCTGGGACTTACTACATGCCCCACATTGAACTTTTTGTGAAATACCCGTCCTCACAGCTGTCTTGTGATTTGGGAACTGGATTATTTCTTTACTGCCGCCCGGCAGGCAGGCGATAAGACTTCATTTGAATCCAGGAGGTTCAATTTACTGGAGCCTCACTCTTAACTAACCTAGAAAGCCACCTCACAACCCTATTACTTCTGTAGTGTAATTAAGGGTTTGATGGTAGAGATGAAGACCAGGATGTTCTTTAAATATTGAGTCATGTACATAAGAATTATTTCTGTGCATTCTTTAAATGATGATACCCTCCTTATTATGGCTCTATATGCTGTCCTGGTATCTAAAATATTTCCTTCTAAACCTCATTGAGAATTAAAGAGCTGAAAGGCTTCTATCTTAAAGTTGGTGATAGTAACTTTTAAGTACTTTAAGTATCTGGTTAATTTTAATAACTTAAAGGTATCTGGAAAATCCAGATTACTAATGGACAAATGAGGCCTAAACGTGGGGGCTGGGTCCAAGGCAGTGGAATCTGGAATCAGGATTGGAATGTAAATCCACTCCCCTTTACCTCAGACTTTTAAAAAATATTTGGAATTTTTCTTTTAAAATCATCTTCTGACTCTTTTTAGGAGCTCACATTGTATCTTATCTGAAACACAAAAAGGAGTGAGACATTGGATGATTTGCTACTGATGGCCCTATAACTTTATGGAAGTTATTCCTTGGTTTCCTCATAATGTTAGGGGGAAAGGATGTCCTGAGATAATCCCATACAGGCTTTGTGGACCCCACCCCCACTCCAGACTAAAGCCATCAAGACATTGGGAAAGACAAATCCCATCACCACCAAAGGGAAGGTGGCTGGGACCTGAGGGTGGAGTTGGGCAGCCAGGTTGGGTATAAAAACCAGACACGTGGGCCTTGGGGGGCTCGCTATGGCTCGCTTGCTGGCTTCACGGCTCCTGGCGGCCAGCTCTCAGAACGCCATTTTGGGATTCCTGATCGGTGGATCGGGTAGGACTCATTTAAAACTTTGTCTCCCACTTTTCTCCCTTAGCTGTACATTTCCTCATTTCCCCTTCCCTTGTAAATAAACCTTTTATTAACCTTTCGCGTGTGCCTGCAGTAGAGCATTGAGAAGTCCTTTTAAGCACGCGGGTGAGGACCCACAGTCAGGCACCCCGTTTTGTATCTGGGTTGCTCTACAACAATAAGAAAATGGGGGATCATTCACACTCTGCAGAAGGTTTATAAAGATTAAATAAAATAATATGTATAGGGGCCTCCTTGGTGGTGCAAGGGGTTATGATGCAACCTATGAAGCTAGCCGCAGCCACTGCAGCTTGAGTTCGATCCTGGCCAGGGAGCTAACCACATGGCACAGCAGACCTCTCCTGTCTCGCCCGCTGCTCCCCTCAACAGTGTATTTTAGTCAGTCTGCCTGTTTTGTTCCCCGCACTGTCTCTGGTGAATTCTCTCACCTCCCCACACCTCTGGCCTGTACCCCCATTCTTGTATGCATAAATAAATAAATCTTTAAATAAAAAATGAAAGTAATTTTCTGTCCCAAAATTCTCCAGAGATTTGCATATCAAAAAAACAGAAATTCTTAAATGTTTAGGATGCCTAAAAAGTCATATGTATTTGTTCATTTATTAATCTATACATTTTTTTCAATGAACATTGGTGGAGGACTTAAGTAAATGCGGAACAAGGATGACTAAGGTACATGATCCCTGCTTTGAGGAGTTCAACAGTCCAATTGTGAACAGGCAAATATACACATATATCAATTTTCCCTCTAAGTGCCAAATACCAATAAGGAGATATGAATATGGGAAAAGGAGCTCTGAGCTAGACTTGGATAATAATGTCAGCCTCCAGGGACTGGCAAATGGATCCAGTACTTTGTGAAGACCTCTAAATGGCAACTCATATCCTCCAGGGAAAACAAAAGGAAAGCCCTAGATGGAATCCCTAATCTCCTTATGGTGTGCTTTTTCATTTCACATCTAACCGCATTGGGACTGCTTTAAACTAGGAATTAGTAAACTGATAAGGGAAGTGGATTTTAGTCAGCAAGTTTAACTTTGGGGCTGGTTT